TACCTGTATATTTCACAGCAGTTGACAAGGGTTAAACCTGTCTATTTCACTGCAGTTGACAAGGGTTAAACCTGTCTATTCCTGCAGTTAACAAGGGTTAAACCTGTCTATTTCACTGCAGTTGACAATTATACTGCAGTTAACAAGGGTTAAACCTATTTCACACAGCAGTTGACAAGGATTATACCTGTATATTTCGCTGCAGTTGACAAGGGTTAAACCTGTCTATTTCACTGCAGTTAACAAGGGTTAAACCTGTATATTTCACAGCAGTTGACAAGGGTTATACCTGTATATTTCGCTGCAGTTGACAAGGGTTAAACCTGTCTATTTCACTGCAGTTAACAAGGGTTAAACCTGTCTATTTCACTGCAGTTAACAAGGGTTATACCTGTATATTTCACTGCAGTTAACAAGGGTTATACCTGTATATTTCACAGCAGTTAACAAGGGTTAAACCTGTCTATTTCACTGCAGTTAACAAGGGTTAAACCTGTCTATTTCAGCAGCAGTTGACAAGGGTTTACCTGTCTAACCAGTTGACAAGGGTTAAACCTGTCTATTTACTCAGTTAACAGCAGTTAACAAGGGGTCACAGCAGTTAACAAGGGTTATACCTGTATATTTCACAGCAGTTAACAAGGGTTAACCTGTCTATTTCACTGCAGTTGACAAGGGTTAAACCTGTCTATTTCACTGCAGTTAACAAGGGTTAAACCTGTCTATTTCACAGCAGACAAGGGTTAACAAGGGTTAAACCTGTATATTTATATTGCAGTTAACAAGGGTTAAACCTGTCTATTTTTCACTGCAGTTAACAAGCAGGGTTAAACCTGTCTATTTCACAGCAGTTAACAAGGGTTATACCTGTATTTCCTGCAGTTAACAAGGGTTAAACCTGTCACTGCAGTTAACAAGGGTTAAACCTGTCTATTTCACTGCAGTTAACAAAGGGTTATTTCACAGCAGTTAACAAGGGTTACCTGTCTATTTCACTGCAGTTAACAAGGGTTAAACCTGTCTATTTCACTGCAGTTGACAAGGGTTAAACCTGTCTATTTCACTGCAGTTAACAAGGGTTATACCTGTATATTTCACAACAGTTAACAAGGGTTAAACCTGTCTATTTCACTGCAGTAAACATGGGTTAAACCTATTTCACAGCAGTTGACAAGGATTATACCTGTATATTTCGCTGCAGTTGACAAGGGTTAAACCTGTCTATTTCACTGCAGTTAACAAGGGTTATACCTGTATATTTCACAGCAGTTGACAAGGGTTATACCTGTATATTTCGCTGCAGTTGACAAGGGTTAAACCTGTCTATTTCACTGCAGTTAACAAGGGTTAAACCTGTCTATTTCACTGCAGTTGACAAGGGTTAAACCTGTCTATTTCACAGCAGTTAAAAAGGCCAATAGAAGTAGAAACGATGTATGCTTATTTATGAAACAGCAGTTAACAAGGACTATACCTGTTTGTATCTCGGGAGTTGATAAAGCCGGGTATGTAAGTGTATCTCACACGGAATATGTTTATTAATTTAACAAAGGTTAACACGGGGTATAGCTGTTTCACAGCAGCTCAGCAAGGGTATGTCATTATCACCCTTGTTACCAGTTAAGAAGGATTATACCTGTTAGTATCACAGGAGTTGATACGTGGTATGCCAGTTTATCACACAGCTGTTAACACAGGGCATATCTAATTATCACACAACAGTTGACTTGCGGGCATGCATGTTTATATCACAGCAGTCAACAAAGGGTATGCATTGTTATTACAATGCTGTTAACATGGGATATTCTAGTACTGAAGTAACTGGGTGTACAACATGTAATCACTGAGTTTTACCCGGGATAAACCAAGGTTGTATACGATTCAAGATATTTGTTATACAAAACATCATCAAGGGACAGGATACAAAATCTATCCTACAAACATAGCTTAACACTTAGTGTTGAATCCCGTTTCATAGAAATTGTTCTCTCGTAATGCAGCAGACAAACATGCATATGTGTATATGAATATAGTCGGAACTGCACAATCGACTCTGCATCGGAGATTTCTTTAATATGGACATCCTAAATATTCTAAATATTGAAAAGGTTTTGTAGTTTTTTTAATTTCATGCATATTGTTCTCCTTGAATGCATATGCTTGAAGCCTGCGCCAACTTCATAAGTTCTGAAACAATTAAATGTAGGGCTTGTTCTCACGGGCTAGATTCCTGGAACAAATTGTTGTGCTCAACTGCATGTATTTGTCACGGGGGTCTGTAAAGAATGATCCTATTCCAATTTCACCTGTGTTCAAATAGAGCCACTTGTCCCCGGCCCCCTTCCCCGACGGAGGCTCCGTGACATGAATGCGCTTCCCCCTGCTGCGCTGCTGTTATCAACCAAGGCAAAGAAAAATGAGTAAAAACGACGTAAATAATATGTGCACGTGCGTTATCAGTGCGGGTGTCGTTTATCTCCGCCGAGCTGCCGGGCCGATCGGGCCGTGTGTACATGGGAGTGAAAGAGAGGGATGGGGAGAGTGAGAGTGGTCTTTGAGGGGCGATGGAAGAGGCTGAGGCGGTACCTAGAGGGGTGGGAGAGGGTTGAGCGGAGGTTGGAAGGTGAGAGATGGGGTCTGGACGATTGGACCGCGGTCATGGATGTAAAAGAGATAAGGACAGGCGAGGGAGCTGACAGAGAGGAGAGGGAGCTGAAAGGGAGAGAGGAGAAGCATGGGGAAGGGGGTTTTACAGGGGTTTTAGAAAGGCTGAGGTAGTTGAAAGGGGCAGGGAAAGTGTCTTGTTGCCTAGGCCACCTACAGGGCAGCATAGAAGGATGAAGTAGAGAGAGTGGACCGGCAGGAGGTCGGAATTGGGATGAGAAAAGCTAATATGTTGTTTGGCAGGGTTGGGACAGGCAAAGGCAAAGTGGACCTTCTAAACAGAAGAAGAGAATAGAGGGCCCGAGGTCTGAAAAGGGTTTGGGATATTGGGATAGATGAGGGGAGGGTGATTGGAACTTTATGGCCAGGTGATGGGTCAGGCGATGAAGTAGGTACGACTGAAGTCCACACTTTTCCTTAACAATATACATTTTCCAAAACACAAACTATTATGAAGAAATCAACGGTTTTACAGATCAAGATTAACGATAAGCCAAATTTCTAGTATGCACGACAGAAAAATCAAACTTCATTGCAAAATGAAACATTATCATGAAATAGACTTACCTATCACTCAAACAAGCTAACCTTTAGGGTGAAACAGAGTATGCACGCATATTTGATACTAAGAAATGACTATTCAGTAATGATGTATCAGATACACAGTTATGTTTTGGACATTTAAGTTTACAGTATTTCAGTGACAGACCTGTAACGTTTTGATAACGTTTACAATTTTTTGGTCAAATCCAATTTTCAAGTGTATACTTTCTTTTCACCGACAATTCACAAGCCCACCTTTCAACGTAAACAAGTCAATCCAACGTTCAACAAATATAGAATTACGATTCAGCAGCCTTTGAGTAAACCTAAGATTCAATAATAAGCCTTCTTCGCGAGTAGTTCAAAAATTCAATGTCGGATAAAAATCTTAATAGGTTTGCAGGTTTTCCATCTTTTCCAAAATAAGCTTCTCCGAGGTTTTTCAGTTCAAGTCAATAAATAACAATCCCTAATCGTCACGTTTCTCCTCTGAAAATGAACAGCATCAGTATCGTGGGTAAAACGAGATGAAACACAAGAACGATCGTGCCTTTCAAAAACTTCCGTTGTGAGGCGGTGAAAGTGTTGCTCCACAACTGTGGCGGACTATTTTGAAATATACATTATATGCAGTGATACAATGGTTGTTTCTTTTTGAAAATATGTTTGAAGTCGTCACCATTTTCACAGTTGGGATTTCGGATATCAAAACATGGGATTAATTTTTTTCAACCACATCGGATTTTAGAATTTTTGAGACAAAAAAGTGTATGTTATGATACGCTGAGTGAAAACAATATATTCCATCTCGAACTGGGCCTGGAAAGGGGGGGGGGGGGGAAGGAGGGAAATGGGATGTCTTTGGAAGATGAAACTAGGATGGTAACAGGTATGGTGTCTGTTAAGAGTGCGCAATAAACCCTCATACGATTTCAAACATGGATTATGAAATCTGATGGTATGTAGCCTGTGGTGTAACATATGAAACGGTTATATATTCTGATCCTTCTTTTGCCTACGACATTACTTAACTATAATTGCAGCATTTTGGACAGTCTGCCATACAGACCCTGAAGCAAATAAATCTAAGAAATCCCACGCAAGTCTAGAAAATGTGGCGAGTCTAGATTTCCACAGGTTCAGGATCTGAAAATAAAGAAAGTCTCAGGGCTCCTTTTCATTATATTTCATTATTTTCACTATGAGTTTTTTTTCAGTAAAATATGTTAATTTCAGAGACTAGTTGTTAGTCTACCATTTGGACAACTCCTTGACGACGTCTTGGTTAGTGGAGCTTATTTATATGAATGTGATCTATACTTCAGTCACAATTTCGATTTATAATATAAAACATGGCCCAGATGACCGCCATTTTGAATGCACGTTGCGTACTCCTACATTACCCAGTTTTTTATGATAATGAAATATGCATGCCGTTTTATTTTAAAAGTGTTTACATATTCTTCTTTATCCATTTATAACGGCCTCAACCATCGAATGTTGTCTATTTCAAAAACCAACAAAGCTGAGCTGTGGGTCTAGTGTTCCTTACACATGTTCTGGCAAAATGTTGTTCTTTTTTTCCCTTTCGGAAAATACAGCAGTTTTAAGAGGCAGGAAAAGTTTATAAGTGATTTTCTTTTAAAGCCCAATAAATTGCTTTCCTGGTCTGTCTTGACAAGTAGTTCGTTATGTGGAAGGGTTGATTCTGTTAACATCACGTTCAGCCCTGTCCACATTTTTTCTTTCATTGCACTTATATTAATCAACATCTGCCCGTTCTTCTGTTTCAGACCTGGCCGTTCACCTTTTCCGGGAGGGTCATCGGCGGAGACAACAAGCCTCTAGACGCGCTGAAAATCTCAGCAAAGCAGGACACCTGCACTAAGTGCTGATTTCATGTTTATCAAATACAACGTTGTGATACGGGCACCCGTGTAGAACTCAGAATGGACTAATGTTTGATTACTGGCCGACTACTGGTAGACGCGCTTCCAATGGTATGTCTTAGGTATGAAGCATTAGCCTATGATATAACAATGAAAGGTAACTTGGCGTTAGAGTCAACCGTGCAACACGGGATATTGGGTGGCAAAAGATTTATCGTAGCGAAACAGGACGTCTTCTTGCATCGAGGATACAAGGAAGACCTAGCTTGGAACCACAATAAGATTTTACCTTCATCAATGTGACACAGGGAGACTTTACCTTTATCATTGTGACACAGGAAGATTTTACCTTTATCATTGTGACACAGGAAGATTTTACCTTTATCAATGTGACACAGGAAGACTTTACCTTTATCATTGTGACACAGGCAGATTTTACCTTTATCAATGTGACACAGGAAGATTTTACCTTTATCATTGTGACACAGGAAGATTTTACCTTTATCATTGTGACACAGGAAGATTTTACCTTAATCGATGTGACACAGGAAGATTTTAGCTTAATCGATGTGACACAGGAAGACTTTAGCTTAATCGATGTGACACAGGAAGACGCATTTTAGCGACACAGGAAGACGCATCCTCGCGAAGAACCACAGGCAGACTTTACTTATCACAGGTAGACTTAACTTATCACAGGCAGAGTTAACTTTTCAGAGGACGACCTATCCTAGAGACACATTGCCCGTGTCCATACTTATCCCAGCCATGTACAGACATCCTTGAGACTTATGTACACTTATCGTAGACACGTCATCATGACGCACGTGTCAGTATGGAGTGTCATAATGTGGAGTTAGTAGATGCGAGACGACGTTAGTAGATGCGAGACGACGTTAGTAGAAGAGACAGCGACGTCCCGTACAACGTGACGTTATGGGCCGTGTCGTGACACCGAGCTATGTTATAGTATCATATGTGTTTGTGAAGTGATGTTTGTCAAATTCAAGTAAAACTTGGTACATTCTTAAAACTGTTTTCTTTTTAAATGATACTGGTTACAAAGGTGGGTTTCATATATTTGAACATATGCTATATCACTGAGAGTGGTAATTTAGCTATACCTCATCTCGAATACAACTATATCACAAAACATATTACGTACATATATAACCTACATGACATATGACATGTCTATATTCCCTACATGACAAATATAAAGGAACATATCTATATCATTCAGATGACAAATATCAGGGAATATATCTATATCCCCTAGATGAAAAATATCAAAGAACATATCTATATCCCCTAGATGACAAATATCAGGGAATATATCTATATCTCCTAGATGACAAATATCAGGGAACATATCTATATTACATAGATGACTAATATTAGGGAACAAATCTATATCACCTAGATGACAAATATCGAGGAACATGTCCATAGCACCTATAGATGACAAATTTCAGGGAACATATCTATATCTCCTAGATGACAAATATCAGGGAACATATTTATATCCCTTAGATGACAAATATCAAGGAACACATCTATATCACCTCGACGACAATTTTCAGGGATCATAGCTATATCACCTAGATGACAAATTTCAGGGAACATGTCTATATCCCCCAAATGACAAATATGGAAAAACATGTCCATATCACCTAGATGACAGATTTCAGGGAACATGTCTATATCCCCTAGATGACAAATATGGAGGAACATGTCTATAGCACCTAGATGACAAATATCAGGGAACATGTTCATATCACCTAGATGACAAATTTCAGCGAACATATCTATATCCCCCAGATGACAAATATTTGAGGAACATGTCCATATCACCTCGATGACAATTTTCAGGGAACATATCTATATCACTTCGATGACAAATTTCAGGGAACATATCTATATCACCTCGATAACAAATTTCAGAGAGCATGTGTATATCCCCTAGATGACCAATATGGAGAAACATGTCCGTATCACCTACATGGCATATTTCAGGGAACATATTAATATCCCTTCGATGACAAATATTGAGGAACATATCTATATCACCTCGATGACAAATTTCAGGAAACATGTCTATATCTCCTGGATGACAATTTTCAGGGATCATAGCTATATCACTTCGATGACAAATTTCAGGGAACATGTCTATATCCCCTAGATGACAAATTTCAGGAAACATATCTATATCCCCTAGATGACAAATATCAGGGAACATGTCCATATCACCTAGATGACAAATATCAGGGAACATGTCTATATCACCTAGATGACAAATTTCAGGGAACATATCTATATCCCCCAGATGACAAATGTGGAGGAACATGTCTATAGCACCTAGATGACAAATATCGAGGAACATATCTATATCGCCCAGATGACAAATATCAGGGAACATATCTATATCGCCTAGATGACAAATATCAGGGAATATATCTATATCACCTAGATGACAAATATCAGGGAACATATCTATATCACCTAGATGACAAATATCAGGGAGCATATCTATATCGCCTAGATGACAAATATCGAGGAACATATCCATATCACCTCGATGACAAATATCAGGGAACATATCTATATCACCTAGATGACAAATTTCAGGGAACATAACTCCATATCGCCTCGATGATGACATAATATATCAGGAACAGGGAACATATCTATATCACCTAGATGACAAATATCAGGGAACATATCTATATCGCCCAGATGACAAATATCAGGGATTATATCCATATCACCTCGATGACAAATATCAGGGAACATATCTATATCACCTCGATGACAAATTTCAGGAAACATGTCTATATCTCCTAGATGACAATTTTCAGGGATCATAGCTATATCACTTCGATGACAAATTTCAGGGAACATGTCTATATCCCCAAGATGACAAATTTCAGGAAACATATCTATATCCCCTAGATGACAAATATCAGGGAACATGTCCATATCACCTAGATGACAAATATCAGGGAACATGTCTATATCACCTAGATGACAAATTTCAGGGAACATATCTATATCCCCCAGATGACAAATGTGGAGGAACATGTCTATAGCACCTAGATGACAAATATCGAGGAACATATCTATATCGCCCAGATGACAAATATCAGAGAACATATCTATATCCCTAGATGACAAATATCAGGGAATATATCTATATCACCTAGATGACAAATATCAGGAACATATCTATATCACCTAGATGACAAATATCAGGGAGCATATCTATATCGCCTAGATGACAAATATCGAGGAACATATCCATATCACCTCGATGACAAATATCAGGGAACTTATCTATATCACCTAGATGACAAATTTCAGGGAACATAACTATATCGCCTAGATGACAAATATCAGGGAACATAGCCATATCACCTAGATGACAAATATCAGGGAACATATCTATATCGCCCAGATGACAAATATCAGGGATTATATCCATATCACCTCGATGACAAATATCAGGGAACATATCTATATCACCTCGATGACAAATTTCAGGAAACATGTCTATATCTCCTAGATGACAATTTTCAGGGATCATAGCTATATCACTTCGATGACAAATTTCAGGGAACATGTCTATATCCCCAAGATGACAAATTTCAGGAAACATATCTATATCCCCTAGATGACAAATATCAGGGAACATGTCCATATCACCTAGATGACAAATATCAGGGAACATGTCTATATCACCTAGATGACAAATTTCAGGGAACATATCTATATCCCCCAGATGACAAATGTGGAGGAACATGTCTATAGCACCTAGATGCCAAATATCGAGGAACATATCTATATCGCCCAGATGACAAATATCAGAGAACATATCTATATCGCCTAGATGACAAATATCAGGGAATATATCTATATCACCTAGATGACAAATATCAGGGAACATATCTATATCACCTAGATGACAAATATCAGGGAGCATATCTATATCGCCTAGATGACAAATATCGAGGAACATATCCATATCACCTCGATGACAAATATCAGGGAACATATCTATATCACCTAGATGACAAATTTCAGGGAACATAACTATATCGCCTAGATGACAAATATCAGGGAACATAGTCATATCACCTCGATGACAAATATCAGGGAACATATCTATATCGCCTAGACGACAAATATCAGGGATTATATCCATATCACCTCGATGACAAATATCAGGGAACATATCTATATCACCTCGATGACAAATATCAGGGAACATATCTATATCGCCCAGATGACAAATATCAGGGAACATATCTATATCACCTCGATGACAAATATCAGGGAACATATCTATATCACCTAGATGACAAATATCAGGGAAACATATCTATATGACAAATATAGATGACAAATATCTAGAGGAACATATCCATATCACCTAGATGACAAATATCAGGGAACATATCTATATCACCTAGATGACAAATATCAGGGAACATATCTATATCACCTAGATGACAAATATCAGGGAACATATCTATATCACCTAGATGACAAATATCGAGGAACATATCTATATCACCTAGATGACAAATATCAGAGAACATATCTATATATCACCTAGATGACAAATATCAGGGAACATATCTATATCACTTAGATGACAAATATCGAGGAACATATCTATATCACCTAGATGACAAATATCAAGGGAACATATCTATATCGCCTAGATGACAAATATCGAGGAACATATCTATATCACCTCGATGACAAATATCAGGAACATATCTATATCACCTAGATGACAAATACTCAGGAACATAACTATATCGCCTAGATGACAAATATCAGGGAACATAGTCATATCACCTCGATGACAAATATCAGGGAACATATCTATATCGCCTAGATGACAAATATCAGGGAACATATCCATATCACCTCGATGACAAATATCAGGGAACATATCTATATCACCTCGATGACAAATATCAGGGAACATATCTATATCGCCCAGATGACAAATATACAGGGAACATATCTATATCACCTCGATGACAAATATCAGGGAACATATCTATATCACCTAGATGACAAATATCAGGGAACATAACTATATCGCCCAGATGACAAATATCGAGGAACATGTCCATGTCACCTAGATGATAAATATCAGGGAACATATCTATATCTCCCAGATGACAAATATCAGGGAACATATCTATATCGCCTAGATGACAAATATCAGGGAACATATCCATATCACCTCGATGACAAATATCAGGGAACATATCTATATCACCTAGATGACAAATATCAGGGAACATATCTATATTGCCCAGATGACAAATATCAGGGAACATATCTATATCACCTAGATGACAAATATCAGGGAACATATCTATATCGCCCAGATGACAAATATCGAGGAACATATCTATATCACCTAGATGACAAATATCAGGGAACATATCTATATCGCCTAGATGACAAATATCAGGGAACATATCTATATCACCTCGATGACAAATTTCAGGGAACATATCTATATCACCTAGATGACAAACATCAGGGAACATATCTATATCGATTAGATGACAAATATCGAGGAACATGTCCATATCACCTCGATGACCAATTTCAGGGAACATATCCATATCACCTAGATGACAAATTTCAGGGAACATATCTATATCTCCTAGATGACAAATATCAGGAACAGATCTATATCACCTAGATGACAAATATCAGGGAACATATCTATATCACCTAGATGACAAATATCAGGAACATATCTATATCGAGGCCCAGATGACAAATATCAGGGGAACATATCTATATCACCTAGATGACAAATATCGAGGAACATGTCCATATCACCTCGATGACAAATTCAGGGAACATATCTATATCTCCTAGATGACAGATATCATCAGGAACATATCTATATCACCTAGATGACAGAAATCAGGAAGATATCTATATCACCTAGATGACAAATATCGAGGAACATGTCCATATCACCTCGATGAC